AAAACGAAATAATTGATCAAAAGTTACACGATAATCGAGAGAAAATGATGTCATTTGAGTTTATTCTTTGTAAAAAAAAATAACTGGCTTTAATCCAGTATCTTCACTTCTCTTCTACGGATCCAAAGAATAAGTAGGATGACTGCAGAAAAATCAGATATTTATCAATGGACATAGAGGTTGTGATTGACTGAACGCTATCATTTTACCGATTTGCAGATTTTCATCGCTACTTATCAAGAGGTTGCGATTTATTTTCTATGTGTTCTAAATACTTTTGATGTGATAACCGTGGTTAAACTTTTCTAAAGTGGGGAGAACTGTATTGTACAATGATAAATTAGAATGAGTATCAAATTCATTAGTTCTGATGAAACCAACTGAAAAGACAGGTTCATCACTGGTTGATGGAATTCCATCGATAATAGATGCTTTGAAAGATTCCATTTAGCTTCGAAAAAGGCTTCCAAATAAACTTATGTGAAAAATTAACAGGGCAAAAAAAATTTGCCCTGTCCTGCCCTGTACTTTTCTTCGGTCGCCCTGCAGGGCAAACAGGACAGGGCAAAAAAAGAAGTTTGCCCTGAAGTACAGGGCAGGGCAGTACAGGGCAGGGCAGTACAGGGCATCAGGGCAACAGGGCAGCCCTGACCTGATGACGGTCTCTGATCCCGAGCATAATGTCCAGGAGTACCACATTTATAACAATTATTTGATTGTGATGCATATTGTGGATATCTTGCAGGATCATGATTCCGAATTTGTTGGTTCGAATTTTGTACATTATGCTGATGATTTTTCCGATATGGTTGTGATTGTAAATGTTGAAAAGTATTATGGCGAGTTTTATTAATAGATTTCTGTGAAATATTTGGTCGTACTGATGGTTTTTGAAATGTAGCAGCATTGATATTAACATTATTTTGTTGCACTTCATTATTTGTACTTGTTAATGTTAATGTATCTTCAACTTTTCTAGCAATCGATAAAAATACATCTGTTGTTTTTGGGTTCTGTAATGCAACATGTATTTTTAATGATTCGTTTATATCAGCCATCAAATATTTTAATTTTAATGGATCAGGCATAATAGTATCAACTTTCTTACATAATTCTATAATTTAATCATAATATTGTGTAATGGATTGATTAACCGTTTGTTTGTACCATTTTAATTGTTTAACAGCTAATTTTTGTACCTTTGTTGATCTAAAAGGCTTTATAAAAGCTTCAGTAAACAATGACCATGATTTAATCGTCGTAGATGTTTGTGTCCACCATCGATATGCATCATCTTGTAAATGGGTTGAAATACTTAGGGCATACCAAAAGTACTGGCAGTGACACTTTAATACCCTATAGCAGACTTTAAGAAACTTTCTTTCTATATAGTCTGATAGAGAAAAAGATGCTCTATCTTTCTATACTATTTGATCGTACTTCAGCTAATCTCATAATATTAAATTATCCATAAAACCTATTTCGGCTGATTCTGTGCTGGTTGTACTAGATTACAACGTGTGAGAACAGACTAGTTTTCAATCCCTCAAGACATTGTATGAACAACCAAAATATACCATAAGATGCAGCGTGAAAAGCTCTACAATTTACATAAGGCCATTTATTTTATAGCTGCACTTTTTGCTTTCAAAATCGATAAAGTTTTGAGGGATCAAATTTTTGGTATTGAGAAAATTGGTCGCATAGAATTTTCCTTTTTTTGAAAACAATTACAATAAGCTTTACTGTATAGATTGTAGAGCTTTTCATGCTGCATCTTGTGGTATATTTTGTTTTTCTTTTGGTAAAGCATATCAGGTGATAAACAATGAAATAACAAAAATGAATTCGTTGTGTATCGAAAACATTGTCTTTTTCGCATCTTCACAATTTGATTGCTCCAAATTTTGTCGATTTCAAAAACAAAAATTGCAGCTATAAAATAAGTGGTCGTATGCAAATTGTAGAGCTTTTCACGCTGCATCTTATAGTATATTTTGGTTATTAATACAACTAGTAAGAAACCGAAAACTGCAATGCAAAACTTACAACCAGCATATAACCAGCCGAAATTGGTTTTATAGATAATTTAATACTATGAGATTAGTTGAAGTACGATCAAATAGTATAGAAAGATAGAGCATTTTTTTCTCTATCAGACTATATAGAAAGAAAGTTTCTTAAAGCCTACTATAGGGTATTAAAGTGTCACTGCCAGTACTTTTGGTATGCCCTAAGTATATTGTAATTTGAACCACGAAAATATGTTGGTTTTTTAATAATTTCATCGGCAATTGTTCGCTGTAAATGTGATGTAGATAAAGAGCTAGAAATAGAAATTGACGACACGTCCACCTCAATAGGAATATTATTTTGTGCTGGTGGTGATGTACATGAATATTGTTGGAGAAGTAATTTACTAGACGATTCAAAATTGGTGATTAAATCAATATGTCTTACATACCTAGGGGTGGCACTTTAACTTTAACTTTAAAGAAAAGTTAAAGTTTAAAGTTGTTTAAAGTGACTTTAAAGTCGTTTAAAGTCGCTTTATTTTTC